CCTCGGTCCTCTGGGAATGCAGCTAGTGCTCTCAACTGCTAAACAATTTCTCCAACCCTGAAAACACATTTTTAAGGGCAATAGTTAAATTTAACAAAGTCTTTTTCTTTCTTTGTTTCTCTTTCTCTCTCTCTCTCTCTCTCTCTCTCTCCTTCTCTTTCCTTCCTTCTTTCTTTCTTCCTCCCTTTCTTTTCCTTTTTGAGACAAGGTGTTATAACCCATGCTGGCCTTGAACCCACTATGTGGCCAAGGATGAACCTGAATTTCTGGTCTTCAGCTTCGTCCTCTGAAGTGCTCGGATCACAGGTGTGCACTGGCATGTTTAGTCTTGTGTTGTGTGGGGATTGGACTCAGGGCTGTGCACATGCTAAGCAAGTTGGCTTTCCACCAACCTTCAGCATTCTCTCATCTGCTCCTTCTGTTTTTACCTTGTGGAAGAATGTGATGTTGTGGGTCTCTGATGTCATTATTAAAAATTCAGTGTGAGCTAAGGGTACCCAGTACTATCCTGAGCTGACAATACTTGTGACGAGAAGCCTTCTGTTCCTGGCTAGGAAGGTAGCTTCGTGGTAGAGCTCTTCACTGTGCAAAGTTCTGGGTTTGATTGATGCTCATCTCCAAAAGAAAAAGATGTTGCAATTAGCAACCACTTCAGGGAATTCAGATTACATATAAAATCATCTTAATCTTTGATGCCCTGTGGGATAAGAGTAAATCTCTGCTTTTATTCTAAATGCATGTTGCTAAGAGGAGGAGTTTGAGTGTGTGCGCACATGTGTTTGGAGTGTGCATGCATGTGTGGCAAGTGCATGGCATACACATGCCCCACAGACCAGGTATGGGAGTCAGTGTAGGGGTCAGGCCTTAGACTTCCACCTTGTTTGAGACCGCTGCCTGTCTCAGGTCCCCATGCGTGTATGACAAGCACAGAGGCACAGAAACCATCTCACGGGCCCTCCACCTTATTTTTTCGAGTAAAGTTCTTTCACTGAATCTGGACCTCACTGATTTGGCTCAGCTGTCAGCCAGTGACCTCCAGGGAGTCACTTTATGCTGCATGCTACTATGCCTGCTTTTCCGTAACTGCTGGGATCCAAACTCAGGTTTCTAATTTACTGACTAACACATCTCCCCATCTCTGAGAAGTACATTTTGGTGTGTAACCCACCTTTCCCTGCACCCCAACTACCACCACCAAGACTTTTCATGGACTTAAAGAATTGTTGTCTTCTCTGTGCAGATTTATTATTTCTGCTTTGTAACTTGAGAGGAGGATGCTGTGTACTGTCTGTGGATAAACTTCTTGCCTCTCTTCGCTTCTAGGACTCTGCTCACTCATCCTTCTAAAGTAGTCTCTCTCCTAGAACCTGGGAGGTTGATTTCTCCCAACAGCCAAAGTGATGTATCTTCCAAATTTCAGATTTTAGAAAGTCTCTAGTTCCTGCCTGGCAGCTGGTTCACTCAGCACTTAATTGGCAAGACCCTCGTTTATAAACAACTGGGAATGCTCCTTTCAGAAATGCCCAAGAAGTAGGGAGGTGAGATTGGCAGCTAGTGAGCAAGGCGAGAGCCGGGACTGGCAAAGCTAATGCATATGGCTGAGATGGCTGCCTTGGCAGCTTGCACCTGGGCTGCTAGCTGAGCCGGCCATGTTGGCAGCTACAGTTGGGTTGGCAGGAATGAACCTGTGGGGTCTTGTCACAATTCTGATAGCTTCTTTACACTCTTCTCTGAAGGCTGAAGATGGTAGTGTGACCTTGCAGCGGCAAGCAGTCTGCTGTGATAGGGGCGAGAAAGATGATCGAGCTTCTCTGTAGATCACCAGAGGCTCTAAGAAAAAGACTGAGCTGCTGGCCGTTTCATAGGTCAGGTGGTATCTCTTAGTCCTTAAGATTTTTCATCATGGTGCAGTAACATTTCTAAGAAAGTAAATCACCGCACTATATGAAGCCCTGGTTTACTTGTAGGGAAAACCTCCACTTTTTTTTTTTTTTTTTAAGCTTTAATATTTTGTTCAGGTCATAGAGTTGAGTAAGCTTGGTTTCAGTTCCAGACCCAAATCTACTTAAAAAACAACCCTCCCTCCCCCAGTACCTGTCTTATTCACCAAAGAAAAACACTGGCATCCTGCCAGGTTCCTGGAGGCTGATCTCTTGGCTGCCAGGCACGTCTCCATGCCTTTGTGATGCCTGAGATTTTGTTCCCTGCAAAGTAAATACACTTAACCTCACTGTTTGCTGTTGCTTGTATCTTCTCGATAGCGGGTGATTAGGAATTATTCACTGGCAGACTTCACCAGTTACGCAAGCTTTCGGCCTCACAGCTTTGTTCTCCTAAGACACAGCACAGCACTTGCCAAGAGTCAGAAGGAAGCTGTGCCATAGGCCTCTGGCAGTGATCCACTGGGAAGCAGCTTGCGTCCTGTGACTGTCCTTCACCCTCAAAAAGCTTGTCCAGGAAAGGGTCTCCTACGTGTTCAGGGCAGTGAACTTAAACCCAAGGAATGTGCCAGAAGGAAGGGTGGTACTCAGGGGCTTTTCTTCTGTCTGCTTAGCCCTGCCCGTCAAAATGAAAGAGTGCGCTTATCTGGGGCCAATCCTGAAAATATGGCTTCTCATGCTGGATTCCATACGAGAACACACTGTACCAGACGGTCAAGTGGATGGACGTTTCCCAGAGCTGCCTGTGTCTTTGGAGGAAAATTCCCTTGTGAAATAATTTATGGCCAGGGAGATGGCTGGTGGGAATGGAACTGGAGCCAGGGGAGATGGTGATATTCAGAAATGCCCTCATCCAGCTTCAGACAGCCGATGAGTCACATAAGATGCCGTTGCCAACAGTGTGCGTGACTCACCGTTGGTCTGGGGCACCGGCCCCTGTACAGAAAGCGCAGTTGCTTTACGCGTGGCTTGTTCTGTTGCGCAGGACCCTGTGCCGATGCTTCCATCACGTAATGGGACATTCAGAACAGCATCGATGCCTCACACAGCTGTGCACTTTGCTGCTGTTATCTTATTGTCTCATGGTCATTTCAGCTGTTCCTCTCCCGAAGCTGGGCTGCGGCACTTCAAGAGACAGTTCTGTGAAACTCTTACCAAATCATTCATTTTAAAAATTTGTTTGTTTTTCAAGACAGGGTTTCTCTATGTAGCCCTGATTCTGCTGGAACTAGTTCTGTAGACCAGGCAGCCCTTGAACTCAGGTCCTCTGCCCATGTGTTTAAATTTCTTATTGCAAATAGCTTCTTCTACCTCTAGAGATGGTAACATACACTGTTTTCTTTAAAACACAAACACATACTCTACTTTCCTTGGTGACTTATCTTTTTCCTACCACTGTATTTTCTTTCAGAAACTGTTGTTTTCTATATGGGTGGTCTGCTTGAATGTACAAATCTGTGCACTATGTGTGTAAGAGTTCACAGAGGTCACAAGAAGAGGGTGCATCTCTTTAAACTGGAGTTACAGATGTCTGTTAGCCATGCGGGTGCTGGAAACTGACAACGTGGGTCCTCTGGAAGAGCAGCCAGTGTTCTTAACAGCTGAGCTGTGGCTCTGGCCCCCACAATATGTTTTTTTAACAGCAAATTTCTTATGTGCAAGAAGCTCTAGAACAATTTTTTATTCTAACTATGGGTGGCAAAGATGTTAGGGAAATGGGATGTTTAAATAGGAATAGAAGTGGGTCAGATTATCTCAGCCATAAGGAACAGCTTCCTTAAGCCTAATATTCCTCCTCTATCTCAGCTTCATGGATTCTTTTCTGACATCTTGATGACCCAACATAGTGCCTGTGGCACCTTCTCCAAAATCCCCTTGGTGACTGTCTTAGTTAGGATTTTATTGCTATGTAGGGACATCATGACCACAGAAACACTTAAAAAGGAAAATGTTTAATTGGGGCTGGCTTATAGTTTGGAGGTTTAGTTCATTATCATCATGGTGGGAAGGCAGACATGGTGCTAGAGAGGCAGGTGAGAATTTTACATCTGGATCAGCAGGCAGCAGGAAGGGAGAGCACCACTGGGCCTGGCTGGGGCTTATGAAACTCCAAAGCCTACCCCCAGTGACACACTTCCTCCAGCAGGGCCACACCTCCAAACAGTGCCACTCTGTGAGCCTATGGGAACCATTTTCATTCTGAACACCACTGCTAGTGTTAAATCTTTCTGGAACACACTTCTTGTCCCTTGAAGGTGAATACAGAATAAACTGCATGAGCAGGGAGGTCGCTTTGGTAGAAATCTCACACCACTATCGAACCTTGGAATGGCTGTGTGAGGAATCCAGTCTCTGAGTGACTGTGTCCTTCATCCCTGCTGTAATGACTGTGTGAAAGGAGCCTGGAGAGTACATGTGTGACCAGTGAGAATCTGGGAAGTTGTGAAGTGCACAGATAAGCCCATCTGTGCAAAAAACCCATCAGGACTTACTTTCAAATGCTCTGTAGATTAGATGCCAAGGGAGAGCAAAGAGGGCAGAGGAGGGGAGTGTCTTCAAGCATTTTGTTACTGAAGAAAATGGTTCCTTTATAGTTCAGTCTTATGCTTCTGTGTGATAGGTGTGGAATGATAATGGTGTGTGGCATTGTCTATACATATGTAGGAGTCGTTTACTGTGTTTATGAATGAAAAGCCTGAGGCTGGGGATTTAGCTCAGGGGAAGAATGTCTGCCTAGCAAGCCCAAGGGTTCAGTCCTTAGCTCTGGGGGAAAAAAAGGAAGGAAGACAGGCCTCAAGCATGCAGGCTGTAGACTTTCCTGCTGTTTAGTTTGTGATATGTAGTCTGAAAGCCACACTGGACATAGTCTGTGTGTTTTAGATATATATTAAAAAGGCAAAGCATCTATAATTGGATCCCTGGCTCGATGGGGCTCCAGTCAGTCCACTGCAGTTTTCCCGAAACCTTCCTCTACAGCTGCTGTCTACGGATGTGCCCTTGCCAAAGGTGGTTTATCTGGCAGCAAACAAGCATTCATGTCCTGGCCTTCTTTTCTTACAGCAATCAGAAACGGAGACTGTGCACCTGTTTATTCCCGCCCTGTCGGTCGGCGCCATCATCGGCAAGCAGGGCCAACACATCAAACAGCTGTCTCGCTTTGCAGGAGCTTCCATTAAGGTACTGTTCTACACACAGCGGCTCTCCTGATTATATAAGTGAAAGTGGTGGGCTGGATTAGGGTTAGGTAACCATATGACAGGGACCCTACAACAGTGGCTAGTTGTGGTTAGTTAATTCTCTCTCAGAAAAATCAATCTCTGGAGAAGCAAACTGGACAATATCTCAGCACCTTTGAGGCCTTGACTTATAACTTCCTTCTAGCTTATCTCCACATTTATTTGTTGCTCTAAGAACCACGACTGTGGAGAGGGCCTAGGTCCAGCCTATGCATGGTCATCGGTTGGTGCTTCAGTCTCTGCAAGCCCCTCTGGGACCTCGGTAGTTGACTCTGTTGGTCTTCCTGTGGCGCTCCTGCCACCTCCAGGTCAATCTGTCCTTCCTCCCACTTTTCTACAAGACTCCCTATGCTTCAACCAGTGTTTGGCTGTCTCAGCTTCTGTTTCAATCCACTGCCTAGTGGTGCCTCTCAGAGGACAGCTGTGCTAGGCTCCTGTCTTACTCCCTCTCTTCAGCTACTACTGCCATCTATTCTATTTCCCCTTCTGAGTAAAATTTAAGCACCCTCCCCCCTTGGGTCCTCCTTGTTATTTATCTTATTTGAGCAGCTCAGGCTTCATTCAGGTGCCTAGTAAGGGGATGGAGGCTGTCTCTGTCTTGGACTCTGTTGCCTGCTTTTTGACCACTCCTCCCTTGTGGGGCTGCCTTGCCCAGGCCACAGAGGAAGAGTACCAGCTCAGTCCTGATGCTACTTAATGAGCTGGGGTGTAGGTGGGGCTCCCTTTATCTGAAGAATAGGAAAGGGGGAGGGGGGAGAGAGAGAGAGTAGGACCAGGAAGAGAGGAGGGAGGGGCTACAATCATGATGGAAAGTGAATAAATAAATATATTAATTTTTTAAAAAGAGTAAACAAGAAGAAAAAAGGTGCATCCAGCAGTGGTGATTCAATAATGAAAGTCTATTGAAGACAGAGTGTGTCTTTATTTTGAAGACAATGGAAGGGACACAGTAAACAACAAAGATGAAATGACAGGTTCTGCTACCACAGGTTCTACAAAGTGGTGTAAAGAACTGCATCCACTGCAGGGAATATCCCATGATTCTCCAGTGTATTTGCAAAATCTAATATCTATTAAAGAATGAGAGAGAGAGAGAGAGAGAGAGAGAGAGAGAGAGCCATGTCTGTCACCTGGCCAATGAGAAAAGGAGGATATAGTGAAGTCTTTCCCATAAGAGAGTTGCCTGTTCATTGCTATGGGGTAGTTTTGCATACATTCCATTCTCAGAACTCGGCCAGGCAAAGCTGAAGGGGCAGAAGAGAAGTTTTGTGTTGTCGTTAAGCATTTATTGTGTAAACGTGAGACCACTAATGCCTGTCAAGAGATCATTGTGTGTGCTGCAGACTCTGTATTTTGATGTGCTGAAGCAATTCAGTATTAGACAAGAGGGTGTTTGTGTGAGCCGGAGCTCATACACATGCCTGCTGGTTCCTCAGTCACACCCACCTTAATTTCTGAGAGTGTCACTGACCAGCTCACTGACTCAGTGGGCTGCCTGGCCAGTGAGTTTAGAATCCTCTAGTCTCTGCCTTTCTAGCTCTGGGCTGCTTATGTGGGTGCTGGGAGTGCAAACATTCCTATCAACGGAGCCATGTTCCCAGCTTACCTTAGGAAATGGTCTGTGAAAACCTCTGTTTTATGTTTTTAAAAGCGCCTTTAAAAAGACTACATCAAGTAATTGGCAGGGATGATCTTCAGTGATAGAATTGGGGTAGCTTGTGTTTTTTTGTTCTTAAACAGTTTTGCAACCTAATAATTAGGTTTTATTTTGCACAGCAAATGCATACGAAGTGTCAGGGTCTCTCCGTTGAATCCTGAGCTTATCAGTAAGGCTGTTTGGCTACCTGGTTTGATCTAGGGAACACATTTTTGCCTCCCAGTGCTGGCATTATGCACGTGGGCATCCACACTCCAGCCCTTGACACTGCACAGCAGACTTTCTACTGAGTTACCTCCTCAGCCCAGATTTCTTCAAAATAACTCCCCAGCAGGGTCACAAAATCCTTTCTTACAGCGCTGGGCATGCTGGCTCCTCTCCTTAGTTCCCCAGCCTGAACATTTGTGATTTTATACACTCCATGAAAACTGAGAAATCTGTTTACCTGTATCCCACTCAGTTAATACTGCTTCACTGTGTCCTTCTAGTGAGTAGACTTACCAATAGGCTAAGCAATAAAAAGTATACGAGTAGTTTAAGCAACCCAGAGGGATTTTCTTCCTCATCTAAGCATAAGCAGCACAGGTGCCATGGGAGGTGGTGGTGCTGCCTTTAATCCCAGCACTTGGGAGGCAGAGGCAGACACATCTCTGTGAGTTCTCGGCCAGCCATGGGCACACAGAAACTCTGTCTTAAAGGAAAAAATAAAAAACACAGCTGCCTAGACAGCATTACCCTTTCCTCTGAAAGCTAAGGAGAAGCCTTGGATGTAGAAGCCTCACAATTTAGGAGTCCAGAGCTTCTAACATGTTACCACACTTCCAGTACCACTGGTGTTGCTGTGAGAAATGCAGGCAGTAGACACACCCAGCTCGCTCAAGGCTTCAAGTATAGTTATGGGTCGGGTCCCTTAATGTCTTTAGCTTTCTGTGATCCCATTCCAAAGTGATCATTCTTCAGCTAGATGTGGTATGGGTTGGCTCAGTGATTGTACATGCAGTTTTATATAAGAGCCAGGCATCATTTAAGTACTCAGTAGACAGTGTGCTGTGTGTGAATGGTCCATATTAACCACAGCCTCTCCACAATTCTTTTCCAGAAGACATTTAATTCCCCAGCTCAGTCAATCATGTGCAGGCGTTAGGCTGGTTGGCCTAAGGTTTGTCAGTGACACCAGAAAGTATCCTAATTGTTGCTGATGGGTTTGTTACAGATCGCTCCGGCCGAAGCACCAGATGCTAAGGTGAGGATGGTGATTATCACTGGACCACCAGAGGCTCAGTTCAAGGTATGTACCGTGAAGGGCACAGTGATGAGAGGGCGTAGGACACTGCTGCTTTCTTCAGCCCTGCATCAGTGGAAATTCCAGAGATCAGAGTGGAGCCGTGCCAGAACTGTATCACCACCATGAACCAAGAGCCTTTAAAGTTCTGTAATGATGTTGCTTTACTGTCACCATTGAGATGGTTGGCACCTTAACACTGACATATACACACCCACCTGCTAAAGAGCCTTGTAAGCCTGTTCCTCGCCTTGGAGAAGCTCTAACCTTGAGTTACAGTGACCCCTTTTCTCTTCTCCTTCACCAAGCACTGTCCTAAGATTTTAAGGACGGTTGGAGCGGTGATGGCGTGAGACCTCGCTTGAGCTACTGCACGTTCACTCACTGGGTCCTTGGGAGCTGGAAAAATCTCCATGCATTCTGAGGTGATGGAGACAACTCTGGGGCTAGACCCGTATTGCAAATCCTACTTTAGCCATTTACCATTTCTGTGACCTTAGATGAGTTCCTGTTCTTCCCAGTTCCTCATCTGTAGAATGGACAGAAGCACCTTTATGCCAGGTAGCTGTCCAATATATACAGTGCTTAGAATAGTGCCTGAAACAAGCCACAGCACCGCACCATGCTGCTCCTGGTGACAGCCAACTCTGAGCAAGTCAGTGAAGCCACTGCAGTGACAGGTGCCTTCTCTCTAGTGAGTGGTTCGCACTGGAACACCTTCTCTTCAGCAACTACTGAACCCTGTTCACTGATCTAACACCTACGTGCTTGTTTGTTCTTTTCTAGTTTATTTATGGAAGGAGCATGGGCATTATGCCATGCTTGCAATCAGAGGACAACTTGTGTGAGTCTGTGGGTCCTGGGGATTGAACCCAGGTTGTCTGGCTTGGTGGCAGGTATTTTATTTACCTGCTGAGCTACCTCGCCAGTCCTATACCTGTGTCTTGCTCCTAAGTCCCACTACCTGCTGTGTAAAGGATCAAGCATTCACTCAACCTTCGTCTCCCTGCTGTCTGTGCACACTCTGCTACACTGCCCACAGCTCACCTCACATCTCTACTGGGAAGGAAAGGACTGGCCCAGAGCCCTGCTCTGCTCTGCCTAAAGCTGTATCTTGGACTCTCTTTTTGTTTTAAACATCAATTTTATTTTAATCAATGAAAACCCAAAGCTGCTTTCATTTACAGAGAATAGAACACACAAATGCTTTGATGATGAGTGCAACTGCCCACACATCAAGGTGACACTTACCTCTCCCAGCAGCCTTAGAATCTGCATAAACTGGAAATGTTAAACACTGGCCAGGAGTACAACACAGCCCCTTTATAGCATGTGAGAAACCACCGGTGATACCCACCACACATGCGTGCACATATCAGACATACATGCAGGTAAAACACTACATCAAAATTTAAAAATAATGAATTGAATAGAATGGAAAGTGGAGAGGATTCTCTTTTTTTCCCTAGTCCTTCTACACCCATGGAAATATAGCTAGTTGGGTTTTTATGGTTTGTCTTGGCAGCTGTCAGGATTAGCCCAACTTCCCAGCTTAGACTTGTCTCCTTTCAAGTGTATGAAAACAAGTTAATGGATGCACAGGAGGATCCTTACACACAACATCTGATTGTGCATGGGATGCATTAGTAAATACCAGAGGTGTAGATTAACCTGATTTCTGGAGCCTTCTTTGGGAGGGAGGTGGGAAGACAGGATCTCACTTGGTAGCCAGAGCTGGCCTCAGACTTGTGGCAGTGCTCTTCCTTGGCCTGCCAAGTGCTGTCACACAAGCTGCCATACCCAGCATTTTAGCCTACATGAAGCTAAAGTCACCCAAGGAAGAGAGCTGTTTAAATAGAAAATGTTTATGTTGACTGGTGTCTGTGCTGTTTAGACATGGGCTTGGCTATATAGTTCGACTATATAGTTCTTTCCTGGTTTCTTTTGTTCAAGGAAAATGCAGTGTTTCTTATTGACAGAGCAGGAGGCTTTATTCAAGATTGGAGTGTGAGTGGCCATTTGCCTCTAAGATGCTTTTTAATTCTGTCTACTATTAATTGCCTTTACTTTCAGCAAAGCGTGGCAAGTCGTGTGCAGTGTGGGCCTTGTTGTTACAGGCGCATCACTGCCCTTTGCTCAGATCCTCCTTTTGTCAGTAATTCAGTCTCGCTGCCTGTGAGACACAGGTTATCGTCAGCCTCTGCTCCTAGCTACTGTCTTACACTGCTGTGGTCTTCGTTCCAGATGTCCATGTACCACTGCAATGGATACTCCAGGCTGAGTTAGGCTGTCTTCAGACTTTAACTGACCTTTTGTTTCAAGTACGAATAACACTGACAGGACATATTGTCACATGTAGGCTCAGGGAAGAATTTATGGGAAGATTAAGGAAGAAAACTTCGTCAGTCCTAAGGAAGAGGTGAAACTTGAAGCTCACATCAGAGTGCCGTCCTTTGCCGCTGGCAGAGTTATTGGGAAAGGAGGCAAAACGGCAAGTACCCCAGAAGCAGCTGTGCCAGGCTGTGAGGAGGTGCAGGGGCTGAGCTGTACCTGCGGCTTTGGCGAGTTTATACAAAGTGGTACCATCCTGACCAAGGTTTGGAGAGGTTCCCTTGTTTCTGTAACCTGCTAATGAGACTGGGCTTATCTCCCTACGACCAGGGCACTGGCCTGGGACTTGCATGGGGTGTCCAGCATTTTCTCCCATGTATAACTTGGAACTTTTATTTTATAAACCCTAAAGGACAGGAACTGAAGTTTCACAACTATCTTCAAACTGCAAAAAGTAGTTTGCAGTCTTTCTCAACTACATCATTTCCAGACCTACACCTTTGAAGTAATGTAGAATGCACACTGAGCAGAACTGGGGGTTTCGCTGTTTACTTTTGTGATGGATAAACTGGTTTCCTTGGCCAGGCCTTACTTCTAGTCATGTTAAAATGAGAATCTAGCGCAGAGAACTGTTAGCGGCTGAAATGAACTCTGTATAGGCAAAGCTGCATCTGTCACACAGTAAGTGGGTGGGAACCAGGCTTTAATGCTTAGTGATAGGACTTTTTTCTATTTCAGGTGAATGAACTCCAGAATCTATCAAGTGCTGAAGTTGTTGTCCCCCGTGACCAGACACCTGACGAGAATGACCAAGTTGTTGTCAAAATAACTGGCCACTTCTATGCTTGCCAGGCAAGTGGCTTCCAAAATGACAAGTTCTTGAGCTCTGTCATTGGGGCTCCCATTTCATATACCTAAGAGAGCCTCTTGGATGCTTATAGCCTAAGAGTGTTGGGAGGGGGAGTCGAGGTATGCTGTCTCTGCTCTTCCCCAGGCTGGCCTTGAGCTCCTAGCCTCAAGATCCCCATACCTCAGCTGTCTTCACACACTGCTGTGCCTGGCTGTGCTGGGAACATCTAGTTTTCCTTTCAGGCAACACACTGTTAAGTATTGAGCTAGAGGAATGCAACTTGATGCTGTTGGACCATCTAGATTCTATGAAGTTCTGTCCTTTTGTAGGTTGCCCAGAGGAAAATTCAGGAAATTCTGACTCAGGTAAAGCAGCACCAACAGCAGAAAGCTCTGCAGAGTGGAGCACCTCAGTCACGGCGGAAGTAAAGGCTCAGGAGACAGCCACCACAGAGGCAGATGCCAAACCAAAGACAGATTTGCTTAACCAACAGACGGGTGCTGACCCATCCAGAATCACACGCACGAGTGTTTACCTAGCCGGTTGTTTCTGAGGAACAGGCAACTCGAACTCCTGTCTCTGTGAGAATGTATACTTTATGCTCTCTGAAATGTATGACACCCAGCTTTAAAAAAAAGAAAGGAAAAAAAGTGGGGGTAGAGAAAGAGAAGGACTCTGCACTTCCCTTGTGATATCAAAGTATAACAAATATTCTAATTTTCCTTAACATCCCTTCATAATGCCGGAAATTGGCATAATGGTACATTCACTAAATTCAAATAAATTTAAAAATAGATCATTCCTAAGTCCAATTGTTGAAATTGGATCAAAGTAGAACTGCCACAGGAACATAATGCTAAGCCATTAGAATAGAAGAGCTGTTGTTTCTTGTTTCTCTAACACTAACGTGGATAGCCTAAGGGAAGTGCCAACCGCTGTTGGCGGGGTATTAAACGTGCATTTTTACTCAACTACCTCAGGTATTCAGTAATACAGTTAAAAGCAAAATTATTCCTTTTTTGAAAATTTTATATACTTTATAAAGAAACTCCAACCGTTTTTTAAAAAAAATAAAATAAAAATTAACAGTTGTCAGCTGATAGGCAAGTAATTGAGGAAGGAATTTTACGTCTTGCTGGTGACCGTCAAGTTTGGAAAATTAATTTTGCATTTTTTGAGCCTTTGACAGTAAATGGAAAGTCCAATAAATGTTCAAAGATGCGGAGCAGTGCCTATTCTCGGAGAGCAGCGATTACATGCACTCTTTTGTCTACAGTGGGGAAGGCTGCTGGTGGTGCCAACAGAGCAGTGGTGGCAGGTTTGGAATGGCTAGGATAAAAAGGGGTCCTGAAGACTGGGGATTTGTGTTTAGCTATGCGGGAACACTTTGACTGTCATTACCTAAAGGAAGCGTGTCAGTGAAGAAATGCAGAATTCAAACAAAATCAGCTTGAGTTGTCTCACAGGAAGCTCAGCCTGCCAACACACGTGAGGTCAGGCGATACTCATGCCAGGGGGAGCCCGGTGTACCGCGGTGCTGAAACGGCAGCACAAAGCTCTATCTCCTTGTGCCTGGCACTGTCATGAGCCTAACTAAGCTATTTTGAAGATTTTTGTAAGCAGTGGAAGAATTACGTCCACCAGAAATCTTACATGGAGTGTAGCAGGGTTTCTGTCTCCCCTGCAGTTCCCTGACTGAGTCAGGGAAGGGAGTAATGCAGCAAACGGTTTGGGGAGTGTGGACTGTGGAAGCAAAGGACTGCTGAAGCGATCCCTTTACCCTTCCTTAACTTAGTGGCAAAGTCCTGTATGGACACTTGTGGGTGTGGGCGGTCCTCAAGGCCATGCTGCTCTCTGAGTTGTTTTTGTTACTTTGTTCATAAGGTGGTTATAGTCGTATTACACTGACCTTGAGGGCATTATGTAACCTTTCAGAAAATCATTTTGCCTCATTTGTATTTCAACACAAACTGCTACAGGCTTATCAGCATATCATTTAGACAATGTGAAAATGATTTACTAAACCTTTCAGAAATCCAGTCTATTTTGTAGTTTTAGCCAAAAAGCACCCACTTTTTACAACTGAATTCATCTAGCATTTGTATTTTTTCATTCAATGGACGTAAACTGCTTAAAAAAAGAAGTGACCTGTTCTCCTGCTTGGATATCAGGGGAGACGTGTTTAATTAAGGCCAGAGCTCTTCCTCAATATTTGATTTTTCCAGTATTTGTATTTTAAGAACTGACAGGTGCTAGATTTTATCTGCTGGTTTCAATTCTGCCATGTTTCACGTCTAGCCTTTAGAGTGGCAAATCATGTTTTACTTTCACTTAAGCATTGGTGGTCTGGAGTACCTGGTACTGAGTAATTCTTTAATTGAGTTTGTGTTCATCATATACAGATCATTTCTCATCTATCATGTGCCCCAAATGCAGCTTCGTTTTCCAGGTACCTTGATGCAGAATAAAGTTTTCATCATAAGCCACAGTTTCTGTAGCATGTTTTCAAATGAGTTTTTTTCTGATATGTATCTTGCCCTGGGCAGTAATCTACCACTAAGTTATGTTTTTCAGCCCCTAGTATATTAATGTGAACCTTGGTTGTCCTGTCTAATATGAACTAAGATCTACAGATTTCAATGGCATTCCCTAATATTGTAAATATTCTACTTCTGCCACTTGGAGTATTCTGGAAGGCTATAGAACACTGTCCTCATCCCCTGTTACTTACTACTGTCCTAAGTTGCCTGAAAAACTGGACAGGGAAGAAGGGTTTATTTATTTATTTTTTTTTCAAGGTTTGGCCATTCCATAGTAAATAAGATTTACATTTAGACAAAATTAATAATCTGAACAGAGAACTTGAGTTACTCCTGGGTATCAGTGCTATCTCAAGCAATTCTGCTAGGATCCTAAGAGTAAAGACAAGATACTGAGAAACCAGGAGTGAACTGACTGGTTCTTTGTCTGTGAGCTAATTTATCTAGTCTCTGCACAGTCACCACCATGAGTGTCCAAGCGGTATACAAGATTTGTAGTGGTCGAGTGGATGGGGCCATGACCTGCATTTACAGATGGCTCAGCTGCATCTAAGGAATGAAAGGCATTAACTTCGTTTTATTCACTTTTGAACTCCACTGGAGTCAGGGATGAAGTGTCTTCCAGTCCAAGAATGAAGTCCTCAGGTAATGTCTCAGCTGCTATGTTAGCTAACTGGTCATCAAAAGAACGGAGAGTCCATAATTTCTCTAATTCGTAGGTTTCTCTGGTTTCTGGAAGCATCAAATGGATCACCATACTGCCTATCAGGAACAGATAAAAATCACAATGAAAAAATTCATTGCTTAAATTTTTATCAATGCATGTCCCTCACCTCGGACTCTTTAGAAGGGCAAATGGCAGACCCCTCCTTTCAAAGCGATGTTGCTGTGCCTTTGTTAGCACATCTGCCACTTGGTGTGGAAATGTGGTCAACATGTTAATCTATGGGAATGTTAAGTTGGTCTGTCAGGTTTCTCTGGTCATACCCTGTGACAACTGTCTCCTGGTTTGACTTTTCTGCACATCTTGTGACAAGGTTTCAAGGTCAGTAGTCCTATCAGATAGGGCTTGCCTCCAGGATGAAGGATAGCTCTGCTCACAACAATGCTTCAATGTCCATAGACACCTTTGACAGTTTTAAGTGGAGAAAGTGGAGTAGACCCTGACCCACAGTACACAACATGTTCCCTGAGCATACAGCAAAACACGAAATGACAAAAGCTGGGAAACCCTGGTGTGCAGCCATGCTGCTGCACAGCACACAAAAAAAGTGGGCCTGCTTCATCATAAAAACACTCTTGGTATATGTGTGTCAGCTGGCCTTTCTGGCCTTGTGGGCTACCTTATGGGCTCCGAGGCTCAGAGAGCCAGCACAAAGGCTACAAAGCTGGTTACTGCCATTGTCACAAGAAATACTATGCTTTTTCAGAATGGTCTTGTCTTCAAGAAACTGGAATGACAACTGGTGAGCTGGCTAGTTTCATGTCAACTTGACACACAGCTGTAGTCACCTGAGAGGATGCCTCCAGCAGATTGGGCTATGAGCAGGCAAAATAGGGCATTTTCTTAATTAGTAGATGGTGCCAGCCCTGGGCTGGTGGTCCTGGGTTAAAAGAAAGCAGGCTGAGCAAGCCAGTAAGCAGCACCCCTTCATGGCCTCTTCATCAGCTCTCTGCCTCCAGGTATCTTCTTGCCCTGACTGCTTTCAATGATGAACTGTTACAAGGAAGTGTAAATGCGACAAATCATTCTCTCACTAAGTAGTTTTACCACAGCAACAGTACCCCTAACTATGATAGCTTGCAAGTAGGCTAAAATCTCAGATGCCAGCCACCTGGCCCCAGAGTAGGCACACAGCTGTTGTTTTCCCTTAGAAGTATGTATCTGGCTGGGAGGTGTTTTGAAACTATTACTCACTATAACATACTCTGTATGGCTCCTTACATATAAGAGTGTATTATCCAGAGTACTTCGGTTAGGCAAAGCTTTCACATGTAAATAACACTTCCTGAGTTATAGTCAAACTCTTAATACTTGAAACACATTTCAAAAATCTTACCCTTAATATGCACTCACCTTTTTTTTTCCCCCAGCTGAAACCAAGTTTAAATGATGGGAATTTATCTGTAAACTGCACAACAGTAACTTACCAAAATCCACACACAGCCAGTCATCGGTGTCCTTCCCTTCAATCTTGACGTACGGGTCACTTTTACATTTCAGGTGTTTATACTGGGGGGAAGCAGGGCGAACATTTAGAAGAGTGAGCAGAGTCTGTGCTTCTACTTAGGGAGTGATGGTTTTCATGGACTGAATTTAGGGACTAGCTAACTCATTTCTCACAGCCATCCTCTGCCCCATGACTCAGAATTTAGAAGAAACAAACAAACAAACAATCGTCTCTTTTAATCTTCTCCTTGGCTATGTTTCTCTAACTCAAATTGCGCAAGTCCTTCCAAGGCGGCCTCCTCACTCACACCAGCATACCTGAGGTATTCTCTGGTTCTCACCAACATGTGTTCAACCAGCTCCCCTCCACTCACAGGTCTTCCATCAGTGCTGGCTTCCCTCAAGCTCAGGATACACATAAAACATCCCATGTGTGTTCCTCCCCAGAGAACTACGGGCAGGCTCATACTCACCTGTTAGTAATACCAGCATGAAAAAGCTTTTGTCTGATATTAGTGCAATGAAAACTTACAGGAGGCCAGGGGCAGTCTTAAGGACAAAGGGAGCTGAATGTGGTTATACATGTCCTTAATTTGGGACAAGAGAGGCTGAGACAGGTCCACATACTTTTTATAGCAAGCCCTTTCCCCACCAAGCCATTTTCCCAACCTTCCCCACCTTTTATACTGGGTCTTGTTTTGTAGCCTCCCAGGGGTCTGAGACTCATAATCCACAGCACCTACATAAACAACGGAGTACAGCAGTGTGCACCTGGACTCCAAGCAGACCCTGGGCTAGTAATCAGGCTGAACTGGCAAACCCAGGTTCCGTGAGACTGTCTCAAAAAGTAACTTAGCAGTAGAGGAAGAAACTGGATGATAACCTCTGACCTCTGTGTGAACATCATTCCAAAGGCTGTGAGTGTGGTGGTTTATGTTAGCAATCACAGCACCTGAGAGGCTAAGGCAAGAGGATCGATCACACAAGTTTGAAGCCAGCATGGCTACAGAGTGAGCCTGTGTCAAAAAAAAAAGTCTGTAGGGCTCAAACTCCACAAAGATTTAACATGTGTGTGTGTACACACACATCTAAGCAGCATAACTCCTAAATATGAAACATAGTTGAAGGAGGAAGTGACAGACTTCAATTAACCTACATTCAATAATGGATAGAAAATCACATTCCTAAGGGAATAGAGGTCAATGCTCTCAACTAGGCCCACTAAACAAATCATTCCACATCACAACTATATAATACTTTTCTGAGCATACCAGGTACAGTCTGTGGCAACACATGTTAACGAGACCACAAAGAGATGAGAAACTTTTAAAAAAAGTTCATCCCTAAAACCAAACAACCACCACCCAAAACCTCAGTACAAAGCTACCTAGTCAGTACAGTATTGGCATATAGTTGAATACACAAACCAATGAAATAGCATCTAGAAATTAACCCTCATATATACGGTCAAACTCAAGTGCTGAGGCCTTTCGGTGGGAAAATGGGGATAGTCTCTGAACAATCAGTACTAGAAAACGTTATAAAAACTCACTCAAAATTGTTGGAGGATGTTTTTGTACACTGTGTATTCAGATGCTGATTTCTGTGCCTTGAGATCCGATGTGGGAATTGTCGTGATCACTGATCACTGTTGTGTAAACATTGCTCCCCAATTATTTCTGATTAACAGAGAAGCTGAGCAGCCTATACCTGGGTGAGAGAACACAGGGAGGCTGGACTTTCATTCCCAGTCACATCTCAGGCAAGGATGACAAGATGGACCGAAGAGGGAGAGAAAGGACATGGCCATGAGGACTGACCTGATGGAGTAGAAGCAGCCCAGGCAGGAACAGTATGGCAAGTAATTCGGAAGTGGCCAGGCTAGCCCAGAGCGTTACCGAAGATGAGTATCTGCCCAGCTACAGTGCTTTACAGCTTACTAAATGTAACAGGTCTCTGTCTCATTATTTGGGAGCTACAGTGGGCATGGAAAAAAAACAAAACCTTTAATTAAAAACAAAATGGATTAAAATACTTAAGCTTAAGACTTGAAACTAAGGCTCTTGAAAGAAAAAGGAAAATTGCTCATGAGAATGAAATAAATCCTGGAGCTAGAGATATATAATCCAGTGGCAAGATGTTCACTTGGTGTGCTCAAAGACCCTGGGTTTCAATCTAGTACCACGACACATCAAATGACACTACCCACAGGTCAAATGACCACCCATAGAACAGCAGGATTTGCAGGGACAAGGAATTCATATCGCACAACTCTTAACAAGAAAACAGATTAAAAAAAAAAAAAGGTAAAGTATACCTTTGGGAGACAGACAGTCTCCCAAAGAATTTATACAGCAACAAAATCTAGTAATGATTGTCTTACTAATCAATGCAAGTCCAAGCTATGGCATACTGTTTCATACCCATACAGATACCTACTATCAGAGAAGCAAAGTGGGAATTTTGGTCAGAATATGGAAAAATATATAGACACTGACACTTCTAGTGAGAATGGAAACTGCAGTGTAGTCAATTGTATTTGAAGTTCCTTAAAAAGTTAAAAACTGCACCCTGGACATTCAGGCTTTTGGCTCCAGCAAGATCAGAGCACGCCAGGTGAGAGGCCTCCAGCCTGAGGTCAGTGTGGGTCTGGGGTTCTGACTTCTAAGATTCTAGCAGTCACTGCAGGATCCTGGGTGTGCCGCTGTGTTCTCAAAGGTTACTTTGGGCTGTGGCCACAACCACAGCCCCTACGTGGTAGGCAGACTTACTTCATAGGGTCTGAAGTTTGGTACCTTCTCGTAGCGTTACAGACTCCACTTGGCCTCCTTAGTGCTTAGGGTGCAGCTCACGCTTGGTCCTGCTGGCACATACCCAAGGCAGGATCACCTCAGCAATCAATTTGACAATCAACACCAAGTTTCACTAGTCCACAGAGCCGAACGCAGTACAGGACAGTGGTTCTCAACCTTCCTAATGCAATGACCATTTAATACAGTTCCTCATGTTGTGGTAACCCCCAAGTATAAAATTATCTCAATGCTACTTTATAAGTGTAATTTTGCTACTGTTATGAATCATAATGGAAACATCTAAAATGCAGGATATCTGATATACAATCCCTATGAAAGGGGGTCTTGACCCACAGGTTGAGAACCACTTCTCCAGAAAGCATTTCAGAAAACAAAATATCCAGGCTCAGATGAGGAAGTCAGAACACACCTACTCCAACAGACAGGTAAAACACAACCACAAACCCACAAAGAATATGACTCACCTACCACCTATACCAACCCTCTAACCCCCATAAGAGAATCCAAAACTAGAGATAGCTTAAATGCCTGACAAAAAAAAGTCCAGAACTTTATTTTTTAAAAGAATTTATGATCACACAGAAAATTCAAAGAGGTGCACAAATTAAGGAAATCTAGTCAAGATTTTCATAAAAGAGAAGCTGAAGTGATTATAACAATTACTAAATTGAAGGTGAAACTCTTAAAATGTGGAGGAAATTTAGCAAAGAGATTGAAACATTGAAAAACAATATTTGAAATAAAAGAAATGGTCAATTAAATAAAAAACACAAAACATCAACAGACAAGGCTATGGAGAACAATTCCATTATGACCAAATGGGCTCCATCCAAGAAAAGCAAGATTATGAGAGCCTGGCTAAATAAGTCTGACCAACTCCATGGCAGACTTCATTTTCTTGCTAGACAGAACTGGCCAAAGTAAAAAACAGAGAAAAAGGACAACCAATCAGAAACAGCCAAGACATCTGCCCTGGGGAAGACAAGGTTGCTTAACTTCTGGTTTGAAGGGCGCCAGCCAATCCCAATTAAGGTCACAGCGCCACAGCAGGAATTTCCCTTTCTGGCTTTAAAAGAGCTTTAGCGATCCCCTCAGGGTTGCTGCCATGTTATAAAGGTGATGACCCCAGTATGCTGGACTTCTGCATATTCCGGACCCTAAAAGTTCAACATTCGCCAATCAATAAACATAATACACCATATAAATAAACTTAAGGAAAGTAACCACATAATCATTTCAATTGATGCTGAAAAGGGTTAGCATGTCTTCGTGATAAAAGTTCTAGAGACTTTAGGAGTAGATAGAACATACCTCAATATGGTCAAAGCTACTACTACATACAACAAACTGGTAGCTAATATTATGTTAAATGGAGACAAACAGTATTTCCTCTAAACTCAGGACCAAGAAAGATGCCCACTCATCCTCTCTTATTTGATGTAATACTGTAAGTCTTAACTATAAAGATTAGATAAGAGAAAAAGTAGAAAATAAGTGCAGAAAAGGCTGATTCAGCAAATGATACAAGGTAAAACTGGACATCTACCTACAGAAGAATTAGATTAACATCTTTCACCTTATGCAAAAAAATACTTCATGAATCCAAGGCCTTAATATAAAACTTGAAACACTGAAACTTTTAAAAGAAAACATAGGAAATACTCTTAAGACACTGGGGTAGGCAAGAACTTGCTGAAGGAACCCCAGTAGCCCAGGAATTAACCCCATGTTATCAACAGATGGAGATACATGGAAATAAAAAACCTGGTTAATTTCACTGTGTGATGTTTATTATTCACAAGTTCTTTATAATAAACCTTAATTTAAAGAAAAGGGTAACTACATGATCCAAATATTCTACCTCTAGGTGCACACCCAGAATAGTTAAAAGCAAGAAAGTGAGCAGACAGTTCTTTGTCCCTATTTAAAATCACAGCAGTCACAGCAGCCGAAAGCTGGACAAGACCCAAGTGTCCACCAGGGGGTGAATGGATAAACAAGGTGCACACACACAGCAGGATGTTATTCAACCTTCAAAAGAAAAGAAGTGGGTGAGGGTGTAGGTCCCTGACGGAGCACTTCTCAGACTCTGGGCTCAGGCCCCATCACTGAACAAGAACAAACAACCAAACAAAACCCAGCACATGGCTACAGCGCATGTGTACCTGGACAAACGACTGAGTGATATAAACAAGTCACCAGGGCCAAACGTTACATGGGATTCTACTTGTGAGATACTAGAAGTCAAATTCTTAGAGACAAAGTGAAGTAGTAGTTTCACAAGAAGAGAGAATAAAGAGCTACTGTCTACTGAGCAAGAATTTCGGTCCTACAAGAAGACTAAAGTTCTGGAAAGGGACAGTGGTAACGCATGGACCACTCTTCTATACACTTAAATTAGTTAAAATCGTTAGGACCTAAATTTTATATTTACAGCAAATGGCAGCAAAATTTATTTTTCCTTGTTGAGGCAGTTTCTTAATGGTCTCCAACTATGCAGACAAGGATGACCTTAAACTGATATTCTTGGCTCCACTTCTCAAGTGCTAAACAAAACTTTCTTGACCTTGCATTTCTTGCCCTTCTCATATAAACATTTTGTGAAAGTGATTTGTACTTCTTTACTCTTCTGCAACTTCTCTGAAAAAACCTCCATTTTTTTTTTTTTTTTTAAATACTCAAAAGCCTTAGAGTCGTGGTAACTTTTCATCCATCACCTTGCTGCTTGCCTTGCAACTGTCTCCATCTTTCCTGGTCTTCCTGTTTTCAATTACTTCCTAGGAATCTTCTTCCAGTTGATCGATGGTGGTGACACACACCTTTAACCCCAGTACTTAGAAGGCGGAGGCAGGAGGATCTCTGAGTTCAAGACCAGCCTGGTCTATAAAGTGAGTTTCAGAAAAGCTAGGGCTACATAGAGAAACTCTGTCTTGGTAAGGGGGGAGGAAAAAAAGAGGAGGAGGAGGAAAAGGTAGAGGAAGGGAAGGAAAGACAAATCTTTCTCTACTCTATCATATTACACCAGGTCTGCTTTCACACCCATTTTTATTTTAAAGCCTTCTCTAGGTGTCCTAGGCTGTTCTTCACTGCCTTGTCTGTGACCAATTTTTAGCAAGGTAAGAGTGTCTACTCCTCTGTCAAATGGTGCCACAATCTGCCAGACACTGACTGCTTCTATACACTTTTTTCCTGTTCTCAATCACATTCGCTCTAACTGGAAAATGAACCCTTCTTAAAGTCACAGGGCAAAGACTGCATGTATTTCTCTTTCACCTTCCCGATACTGCACAGTGTCTGGGGAACACCTAGGTATCCGGGCCTGGGCTCTGGTAGCTACACAAGGTACAGGAGGCAAACTACAAAGCAGAGTTCCTCTGTTGGTTTCTGCTTCAGGTTTCTGCCTTGAGTTCCTGACATGACTCAATGAAGGACTACGGTCTATAAGCTAAAAACACAACACACCTTTCCGAAGTTACTTTGATCACTGTTGTTATAGCAACAGAAAACAAATTAGGACAAGAAGCATTGCCCAGAACTTTTTGAAAATTTATATAGCTGTCCAGTATGAAAGAAATCACAGCCACATGTGGAAACTGAGCATCTGAAATGTGGCTAGTATAAATGAAGAACTGGATTTCAAAGTCTGATCTGCATTTGGATAACATTTCTGAAAATAGAGAGAAGGCTCGATAGCTAGGAGCACTGGCTGCTGGAGCGAAGGTCCCACGTTTGGCGGCCATGCTTGGTGACACACAGACATATACACAGCTATATAATTAAAAATAGGTTTTGGAGACAGGGTTTCTCTGTGTAGCTGTGGCTGTCCTGGACTCAATCTGTAGACCAGGCTGGCCTCGGACTCAAGAGATCTGCCTCTGTCTCTCAAGAGGGTGGGGTTAAATGCACCAGCACGCTTGGCTAATTTCAAAGGCTATTAAGTGCTGCAGAGTTGGCTCCCAGGTTAGCAGCTCATAACTTCCTTTAACTCCAGTTCTGGGGGATCACACACTTTCCTCTGACCTCTGTGAGCACTAGGCTTACACATAAATAAAAATAAATCTTTAAATATCTTTCAGTAGTCACTTGTGGCTACAGGCAATCACACAGGTGCTGTTCTAGAACAGACTTATACCGTCTTCTGGCTTGTTTTAGGTTATTCTTAATTTTTTCCTGTCACAAAAGACAAGAAGTAGAAATACCTGGATTCAACAAAGAAAAAATACATGTGCCCACGCCTTTCACTATGAAAGGCTATGCATTTTTCTTGGAAATTCTGAAACTTGGGCTTTCTCTGTAGCCTCTCACGATGGTTATCCTGTTACTCCCACCCAAGTGTACCAAGTTACTCTCTAGGTAAAGGTTCAAGACAAAAGATCACATCCTACCATCTTCACAATGTAGTAGGCCATAGCGTGTAAGTGTCGGGTGGACGTCCCGCTACCAATTATAAAGTAGTCTGTGTATCTCATTTCCGGAGGCACCTTGATCACACAAATGTCTCTTGCATTTTCTTGCCTCAGAAGTGAAACCAGCATATCGATGTCAAACTTGGCACCAGTGTGACCTGAAATGCAGAAACGCTTGTGTCAGATGGCCAAGAAAAAACAAAACAAAAAAAAAACCCAGACCTACATGTATCCAGAGAAGCAGACTCACACGAGAAGGTAGAACTTCACCCAAGAGTGTATTTATATCCAACACCAGGCAGGAGGTTCCCAAGTTCAAGGCTAGCCTGAGCAACTCACAGGAGACAGTATCTAAAGCCTGGGGATGTGCTTCGGCGGTGGAACGCTTGCCTAGCATGTTCAAGGTCCTGAGTCCGATCCCCAAGACCACCTCCACTCAAAACAAAACCAACCAACCGAGCAAAAATCAGCTCAAAACTGAACCTGTCATAAAGCACCGCTCAGCTGTTCTAGGCAGAATGCTCAGACTGCACAGACACCGAACGCTGCAGCACAAATACTGCTCCACCCAAGTGGAAGCAGTAGCAAAGGACTTTCTATTCACTACGACTGAAATGAACGACATACAGCAAATGCAGAGATGCCACCCAAAAAGCAGCGTGGTTTGGGGGAGAGGTCGATATCCTGGGGCATGGGGCATATTAAATCGAATCGCAGCTACAAAAGGTTGCTGAACTATAAATTATGAGACTTAAGAGTTAGGTTCTCAACCAATATCTGGTCCACAGCCTTCAGCGGATACGAAGAAGCACAGTGCTACCGAGACCAATCAGTCCATTTCCTACGACCCTGGGTAGATCGTGAGGCGGGTGAGGATCCTGGGGCGGTGATGCTGGGTAGCCACATGCCTGGAGTTTTGGGGAAAGCACGCCCGCCTCCCGGTCTCTTCACTACCCCAAAAGCAAGTCGGAGCCAGCTACCTCGCAAGCCCCTTCTAGCTCTGCGTCTGCGCGAGTTCAGCGACTCACCCCCGAGGCACGCAGAGAAACCCGGGGCCTCCGGGGTCGGGCCCGTCCGCCTGCGGTCCTGCCCGCGTACCTGCGGCTGCCGGCTGCGGGCGAGCGTCGCCATCGGCCCGCTCCTCCGGCTGAGGTCCACGGTGCAGGCCGCGCGTCGGGCTCGGGGTCAGGCAGGTCGCGGGCCCCGCCGGAAGCCATCGCTCTGTCTGCCGCGGAAGCCTGGGAACCGAAGGCACCGCGGGGCCAGCTCGAGGGCAGAGCACTCTGTGCCACAGCAGCGCACACAGGCGGCGCGCGGCCAAGCCGCCGGGACTCATGGCCGCCGGCGCGACTTCTCCGCGGGAGGCGCCCTCCCAGCGGCTCCAGAATTCTACGTCACGGAATGGGCGGGGCTGCGACCGAAAAGCTGAGAGGGACGGGCACTGGCTGGGGAGTACTTCATTAAGAAGGAAAGGGGCAGTGTTGGCACAGGCTTCTAATCCCAACGCTGGGGAGGCAGAAGCAGGAGGCTGTGCAGAGTGAGTCCCAGGACAGCCACAGAGAATGCTGTCTCGAAAAAATAAAATAAAACAAATAAAAAAGAGCCCAAATAATCTTCATGGGGCTGCACAGATGGCTCTTCAGGGGTCCTGAGTTCATTTCCCAGCAACCACATGGTGGCTCACAACCATCTAAAAATCTGTCTGTCTGATGCCCTCTTCTGTCTTGTACGCATACATGCAAACAGAGCACTCATATACATAAATAAATACATCTTAAAAAGAAATTAAAGGATTCCTATCTCTCCTTTCCTCTACCCTCTACCTCTCTCTACCCACCTACACCTCAAACCCTCTCTAATTCGTCTCTTTCCTCTCCCCCAAATATGCAGAAATTAGCCCTGTCAGATGGAAATGAAATATTTTGTAGTCATCTCCCATTGTAAAAAAAAAAAAAAAAAAAAAAAAAAAAAAAAAAAAAAAAAAAAAAAAGAAAACAAAAAAAAAAAAAAACTAGATTCAAGAGGTAGAGAGATGGCAGAGATATCAAAACAAAAACATGGCTGAAGAGGTGGTAGGCTCCAGGGAGAAACCTATTACTATTGTTTTGCTAAACGTAAATGTTGTCAATCTTCCTTTTAAATACTTAGGTTTACCCTTATGGATTAATGCTAGTCTTAGCCTTGGTCAGAATAACTTCTTTTTTTCAGTGGGCAGCAGTTAAAGCAGAGACCCGTAACTGGTCAGAGTGTGGAGAATATGTGAATGCTGAGTGCGTAGCCCTAAATGGGGCCTCTGTATCAGGCCCACCCTAAGGCTCGGGGAGCAGCATGGTGCAGGGATGTAGAACTGTACGGACTGGGGAGAAAGGTTGTGAAATGCTATCTTAGGGGCACGGCTCACTGCAGCCACGGCTACCTGCACAAGAGCAAACCAGTCAACATAACACAGACACAGGAGGGGCTCATGAGGCCTCACCCCTAGCTGAGGAGCTACTGGCAACAGATGACAGTTACTGAGGGAGAGGAGTCATCTTTCTTTCTAAGGGTGGCCACTGGTGGGCTGCTCATGCTTCTGCGGACGGCTGCACGCCCATGTGCATAAAGGCAGCCCTGAACTCAGTGGGCTATAAAAACAAAAGGGACATGAAGGTGAGAAGAGTGTTTGGGGAAGTGGATGGGGAGATTTGGGATAGATATTATCAAGACTCGTTGTATGCATGTATGACATTGCCCAAGGATATATTTTAAAATATTCCTTTAAGGGCTGGAGAGATGGCTCAGAGGTTAAGAACACTGCTTGCTCTTCCTGAGTTCCTGAGTTCAATTCCCAGCAACCACATGGTGGCTCACAACCATCTATAGAAATCTGGTGCCTTCTTCTGGGGTTCAGGTGTACATGCAGACAGAACGTTGTATACATAATAAAATAAATAAATCTTAAAAAATATTCCTTTTAAAATATCCTGATTCCTTTGAAAATGTGAAACCCCATGAAGAAGCTCTGTTACCGTGGATTAATGTGGGTCAGAGACTGGGGAGTAAAGGTCTTATTTGGGAAATGATCTTGGGTCACCCTACAGCACTTTCGTGAAGTTTCCACCAGTGGACAGCAGTGTAGGGGCCACCTCAGGGAGAATGCTGGTGTGACCAGGGTCATACACCTAGTGGACAAGCTGAAAGAAAAAGCTAAGTCTCTGAGAAGGTTCCAGAGTAGCCTCAGGACCTGGGACATCACCAATTATACAGTAGGTATTCCCAAGCTATCTATACTATTAACTCCTAAAAACAAAACAAAACAAAAAGGAACACCAAGCATTAATTCTAGGAAATGCTTTATCAAATTCAAAAGCTTTCCAGGAGTGGTAGTGCATGCCTTTAGTCCCACACTTGGAAGGCAGAGGTAGTTGGATCTCTGTGAGTTCAAAGCCAACCTAGTAAGTTCAAGGCCAACCAAGGTTACATGGTAAAACCCTGTCATCAAATGAATGCAGAAACTAGTATAAGTACCTATGTGTACCACTCCAAATGTTTACAATTGTTCTGTTACGTTTGAAAATAAGAAAAGTAAATGATTATAGCTGAAGCTGTCTTCTCTGTTTTCTAGTTCTCATCCCTTCCTCTTCAGTTCCATTTCCCCACAGGTATGAATTTGGTACTTCTTGCTGATAGCAGAGACTTCCTGAGATCGCTGGCAACTTGATCCCCTGAGACCTAAGTAGCATCTCAGGTATTTTGTTACAGTGGCAAAGTGTTAACTAATACCCCACTTCAGTCAACTTTCAAATGTGCATCACTAGTCTGCTCCTGTCTCCTAAGTCTTGAACTTATGTAACAATGGCATATTTCCACTTGAGTGTTTAACAGCATCTCCAACACAAACGTCCAACAGCAGGCTACAGATCTGTAGCCCTCTCACTCTATCTAAGCGAGTCCTGCATGCTTCTTCAAAAGATGCCCAGAATGATACAAGATATGATGTGGATAAGACATTAAAACATGCTTAAGTAAGGGCTGGTGAGATGGCTCAGCCCATAAAGATACCCACTGCCACATCTGATGATTTGAACTCAATTACTAGAGTCCCTATAAAAACATAATAAAAATATTTTTAGTTATATAAATTTTTAAACCTATATTGTATGTTTGGACAACTTGTGTGAGTCAGTTCTCTCCATGTGCCACATAGTTTCCGAAGATTGAACTCAGGTTGTCAGGGTAGATAGTCTTTACCTACTGAGGCATCTCAAGGACCTGAGTTACGCAGTATAAAAGGGCAAAGTTTGTGGTGTGTTAAATACATCTCAATACAACTCTTAGAAATGAGGAGCAAGAAGGCAGAGATGAAAAGTGTAAGTAATTATGGCCTTTCAAGAGAGACCTCAGTCTAGAGATGGTTTGTCTTGCAAACACAAGGACCTAAATCTCACCCTAGAACCCATTTAAAAAACTGGATGTGCTGCTGTGCACCTATAACCTCAGCACTGGGAAGGCAGAGATGGCCCCAGGGTTCACTGACTAGCCAGCCTGGCCTGCTTGGCAATTCAAGGCCTGTAAGAGACCCTCCCTCAGAAAATGAGGTGGATGACATCTAAGAACGATACCCAAGTCTGTCTTCTGTGTGTGCGCGCACATACACACACACACACACACACACACACACACACACACACACACACACACACAGAAAGATGTAAAAAAAAAAAAAAAAAAAAAAAAAAAAAAAGGAGCACAGGCAATATTTCAAGAAGTCACACTGCCTGCTCATTATGGCTCTGTAACAAGAACTTTATTATTTGATGCCAAAGGCAGTAATAAGAGGACACCTAAAAAAAAAATTATGGTCTCGACCTAAAGACAAAATTACATCTTTAGATCTTTAGTATGCAGACGGAAGAGACTGTCAGCAAACTGTTATTGACAATGGCTTTGACCTGTGCAAGCACAGAAAGGGCTGAAGCAATGACAAGATGGCCCTTTCTAGAGCTCTGAGCTTCCTTTCATGTCTCAGCACTCTGCTGACTACCTCCCTGACTCCAGGAGGTGGAGGCTTCCTCTCTCCTCTCTGGGGTTCCCTGCTCACTCTCCTCAGCAAGGGCAGCCTGTTCTGCCCACTCTCCAACATCTGAAAGCGGCTGCTCCACAGGTTTCCAGTGGCTATTCCCAAAGCAATATGTCCTCCATGGGCAGAGACAAAGGGCTCGCCTCACAGTTGCAGCACTTTTCAATCTTCATCCTCATGATTTATGTATGATAAAGACAGATAGCTTCTTTCTCCTTCCTCCCTTCCTTCTTTTCCTTTGCCCTTTCCTTCCTTCCCTTCCTCCTTCTCTCTCTTTCTGACAATGTTTCATGTAGACGTGGCTAGCCTTCAGCTCCCTATGTAAGAGGATGAGCCGCCTCTACTAATACTGATCTGTGGGGCAAGTGAGCTGTGGGGTGGGAGAACCAGCCTGGAGCAACGGTGAGACTGGAGACATGTGGCAGGAGGAAGGACTGCTCCTTCATGGTCTGGGCCTGCATGCCCTGGTGCACAGAGCCGTGTGGCCTCCACCTCTGCCGCGCTTGAGGTAGTCACACAGCCTGGTGGCCAGGATTCAGGTTAAAACTTCCTATTTCCTTATAGGATGTGGCCAGCTAGCCCCTGCAATTCCTCTCCACGCAAATGAAGCGTTCCCAGCCCCTCAGCCCCAGCCAAGGATGCACGCTCACCCGAAAACCCCTACCCACTCCCCAAGGTTTATATAGCCTTTATTCCTCCCAATAAAGGAGAGCTGTTTCAGTGAAAACGGTCTCAGAGAAGCCCCTAAGCTTCATCCCTTCAGCTTCAGCATCAGTGCACAGTGGTGCCTGGACAGCCCGAAGCCAGAGCAGAACCTGGACTGACACTGATCCTCCTGACGCTTGCCTCCCAAGTGCTGGGGTTTTAGGTGTAAACCACAGCACCGCCGGAGAATTGCTCCCCAGGTATACTGTATGGTAGTCTGCTAGCATTGCTGTAACAGAATACCACATACTGGATGGCTTACAGGACAGGACTGATGTGCTCGCTGTTCTGGAGACAAGAAACCTAAGATCAAGGTGGTAGCAAGGTGGCTTCTGGTGGGGCCTTTCTTCCTCACTTGTAGGTGGCCACCTCACACGGCCCTTTCCTCTGGGCTCTTTCCCCCGGTAACGCTTCCTCTTCTTGTAAGGACATTCGCCATTTCAGCTTCTGCCCTCATGAAACTTCTTTTAATCTTAATTAACTCCTTAATGCTTCAGCATTTAAATCAGCAGCGGGTTGGGACATAACAGTTGACTTTGTTGGATGTTCCTTGGCTTATGATGGAGCATGTCCTAAATAAAATAAATTTA